TTCTCTCTCTCTCAAATAAATAAATAAAACCTTTAAAAAAAAGAAAAGAAAATTATCAAGCACCACCCTGACCTAATGAATCAGAAACTCTGGGGTGGGGTCCAGCACTGTGAGTTCAAACAAGCCCTCCAGGGATTGCAATGAAGCTTCAGTTTTAGAGCCACTGCCCTGGGCCCCAGCCCCAGCATGGCATGCTGTTTCCTACTCTTAAAATTTCTGTAGGACTTGAATTTTCCTGTTTGTTTCTCTCGGTCCTCCAAAATTGTTTAACCAATCTCTATGTTAAATTTCTTTTGTTGAGATACCTGGTGTGGCTTCTGTCTGACCAAGACAAGGAAAAATTTAGTAGGTCATGATGTAAAATAAAAGCTGAATTTAGTCAAAATTACCAATGAAAAATCCCGTAAAAATCTCCTACAGAGTACAGATATCCCATGCTTCAGGGAGCCCACTATATTCAGCACGGGAACTGACGGCTGATTCCTCCGAAGAGCTCAGATTAAGGAGTCAGCTGGGCAGTAGAGACCATGTTGTTGGAAAAATCGGTATTATATTAAAACTCTCCAGTCATTCACCATTCAGCATGGTGAGATGCTTATAATGGGAGCACCTGAAAGCTGAAAACTCTATAGATGCCCTATAAAGTTCAGAAGATGCCCTATAAAACTTGGAAAAATTTCTTCCCCTCTGTTTTATTTTTCCCATCTATAAAATGGACCAAGTTGGAATAGAGCCTTAGCTTTCTAGAAAAAAAATTTTTAATTGTGGTAAAATATACAGAACGTAAAATTTACCATCTTCATCATTTCTTAGAGTACAGCTCAGTAGTGTGAAGTACATTCACACTGTTGTGCAACCCACCATCCACAACTCTTTTCATCGGTACCCATCAGTACTGCAAGTCTGTACCCATTACAAGATAATTTCCATTCCTCCCACTCCCTACAATTCCTGACAACCACCAATCTATGCTCAGTCTCTAGGAACCTGACTACTCTAGGGACCTCACATAAGTGGAATTATACCATTTTTGGTTTTTTGTGACTGGTTTATTTTACTTAGCATGTATGGGCACTAAGGGTGAGCTGGCATCAACCTAAATGCTTTACACATATTAACTCATTTAATACTCAAACAACCCCCTGTGTTAGTTACTATTTGTTGTCAATGTTACTAGTGTTATGAACTTGAATGTTTGTGTCCCTGAAAAACTCTTGTGTTGAAATCCTAATGCCCAATGGGCTATTAGGAGGTAGGGCCTTTGGGAGGTGATCAGGTCATGAAGGTGGGGCCTTCATGAATAGAATTAGTGCCCTTAAAAGAGACATGAGAAAGTTTGTTCTCTCTCTCAGTCTCCACTGTGTGGTAATACAACAAGGTGTCTGCAAACCAGGACCAAATCAGCTGACACCTTGATCTTGGACCTCCCCACTTCTGAACTGTGAGAAATAAATGTCTGGCGTTTTAGCTACCCCAGTCTATTGTACTCAATTATTCAGCCCAAGTTGACTAAGACAGTTCACTTCCCTTGGGGCGCCTGAGTGGCTCAGTCGGTTAAGCATCCTACTCTTGGTTTCAGCTCTAGTCATGATCTCAAGGTCTTGAGATCAAACTCTGAGTCAGGATCTGCATTCAGTGGGGAGTCTGCTTGAGAGTCTCTTCTTCTCCCTCTCTCTTCCTCACATGAACATGCTCTCTCTCTCACTCTCTCTATAAAATAAATAAGTCCAAAAAATGCTTTAAAAAAAAGCTTTCCCTGAATAATTAATAAGTACTTGTTATAGAAACTGTGCAAAATTGAGAAAAGAATACTTTTTAAGAAGATACAAGAGTTCTAGTACCCAAAGATATTACCTTCTATATTTCTGTAGGCATATCTTTCCTACCAAATTCAAGAGTTTGACTCATGATTTTGGTTTCACATTTTAGTATTTCCCACATTTTCCACAGTCTTTTCTAAGATTTCAATGGCTGTATAATTTTAACAGATGCACAAAGTATATATGCTCAACTATTCCTCCACAGAAACTCTGAGTTCTCAAACTTTCCAGTTAACCATGGTTGTCCTTTTCTTTTTTTTTTTTTTTAAAGATTTTATTTATTTGACAGAGAGAGATACAGTGAGAGACGGAACACAAGCAGGGGGAGTGGGAGAGGGAGAAGCAGGCTTCCCGCGGAGCAGGGAGCCCAATGTGGGGCTCGATCCCAGGACCCTGGGATCATGAC